CCAGTTCTTTCTGGACTCTGGTATAGAAATTGTGTTATTTCTGGCTTGAGTGCTTTGAAGTCCTTCAGTTTTGTTTCTGCTTTTTACACCTGACAGCATCTATCTTTGTAGCCTTGTCTTGTTGACCACAGGGACAAAGGCAGAATGTACAACACTGCTGAAACCAGATGTGAAAAATTAGTTTTGCGGTGGGGCCAGACAAGGTTGTTTTTTAACTACATCCACTCTCAGCCTGTCACTCTCCTTTTCTGTTTTCCATGGTCACTGTCTCTGTGAAGCACCTTTGCTTTGCAAGTTGGCCTGACCTCTTAGAAAGCTCATTTTGTCCTTAAGTCTAAAGTTCTTTCGATTTCTGCTATAACATCATGTAAGTCCCATTTCAACTTTGTTCTAGAGATGGAAAAAGGGCAAGAAAAATTCATTTTTCTGTCATTTTTGCTCTTAGGATCTTTGCTGGAGTTGCCAGCAAAGTTTTTAAGGTGGAATCCATGTTTCCCAGCCACATTGCCATTAAGAAGATCATAGAGCTCATCAGCCCCTCTACCGTCTTATTTTTGGAGCAAAATAGAAAAGTTAAAAGGATGTAAAGTCTATTACACTTTTCTTTGCATATTTACAATATGTTAATAATTGCAGCTAATGTTCTCGAAGTTAGAATTATTATTTCTAATGGTTCTTGATTTGAAGCATTATGGTATAGCAGTCAGCTTGTCATGTCTTTGACACTTTATCATTCTATTTAAGGAATCAGTCTTAATCTTCAAAGAAAAGGGCTTAGTTAATTTAAAAGTCAAGCAGAGAGGTGGCAGTCATATGAGCTTTTAGCACAATAGATATTCATAAAATATGCCCCATAAAATAGTAAGCCTTAGGGACAGATGCAGTAATATAACATTCCCTCTTTTTTTCCTGCTGCACATATCTGCTCCCACTGAGGATGGTCATTAAAAGTAAGTGCTTCTAAATTCAGAGCCACCTGACCTGCCATAGAAAATATATTTTTTTAAGAATCTCATGTAGAAAAGAAGAAAGAGCAGGACTGTGCTTTGGTAGGTACTAGTGCCTTTAAGGGAGCTGATTCAGCTAAGTTTGGGTTAATATTCCTAAGTCAGAGAGAGAACTGCCTTAGTCTCTGAGCACTTATTAAACGCTGTTACCTTTACATTTGCAATCTGATGGCAGAATAATGCAGCCTCATGGGGGAAGGACAAAAACTCCAGTGCCAGGGATATTTAAAATGAGACTGAATAAAAATTGCATGAGGTCCTATATGCAGCAGTCCATTAGTACTGCACTGCAGTAAAACCTATCTCACGCCTCATGTTCCCTTCGAGAGAAAAGGAGTTTTAGCCTTAGCAAGGGCTACTTCATCATCATGATTATGGAGCTCTTCTTGAACTCCTGTGAACTCCTATCTTGTAGCCATCATCACTTTTGTGATTTTCATCCCTGCCTACAATTCCCACCCTTTTCTTCATAGCACCCTAGAAAGCCATCAGCACTGCTTCAGTCTGCTGGACACAAATCCATAAGCAGTCAAGAGCGGATTTATATACTTAACTCCAGGAATTGGCTTTTTGTCTTCCTATCCCCTTACTCACCCTCTCCTAAATGACAGGCACCTCATTTTTATCAGCTATTTTTCTGAGTGTTCAGATTTCTGTATATGTGTGTGCAGAAATGCCAATCTTGACATATCTTTGTGCAGCTCAAAACCTGCTCTATACCTGAACAGACTGGGTATAGCCCCAGCCCAGCTACTCAGCCTCCAGTGGCCAGCACAGACAGGTGAGATCAGGGATGCTGGAGAGTGGCTTTGTAGACACACTCACGGCAGCAGCTCCCATTATTTCACTTTCCTGCTTGAGCTTGGAAATTTGTCTACTAGATCATGAGTGTGTTAGTCCTTTAGGAATGAAGACAAATCCATGCAGACAGTAGTTCTGCAGGACTGATTGTGCTTAGTGTTTATCCTGTGTGTAACACAGACCATTGCAATTCATGCGAGCAGCCTTATGCTGAGCCAAAGGGCTTTAATTGGAGAAAAGCATCTGCATCCTAGAGAAACTAAACTGTTCGCCAGCTGCGAAGAAGAAAAAAGATCAATGTGTCATTAGTGCCCAAACCTTGTGCAAGGGGAAGGAAATAATTTAAGGGCAGATTTTTCAATGGACTGAGCGTGCCCACAAAGTAGGAGGAGGTGAAAACACATTAACCAAAACCCAGGGGGAAATTTCCGTCCCGACTCAAAATAGGGCGAGCAGTGTGACCCTCTGTGTGTGATCATCTCTACTTAAAAGGCTTCTTGGTATGTGATTGAGACACGGATGCTTTAGTGGATAGGGAAAAAAATCTCTGGTCAGAATCAGATCCTAGAGGTACATTTGCTCTGTATCCTGGCAAAGTCGTTCAGTGCAAACAAGAAAGATCTCCTGTAATAAATGACCAGTTTTTAAGAAGCTGTGTTTGAGGGGTTTTTTTCCTAGAATAATCCTGCAGACCTTTCTCCATAACAATTCCATTTTTGGCAATTTGGCTTGAAGAATCTTTCATATGAAAAGGGAATGTTTGAAGTGAATCATTTAATTTGCTTAACTTAGAGGTTCCTACTACATTTAATTTTCAGCTGATTCTCTCTAATTAAAGTTCAAGTCACTCTTAAATATTTAGCCTTGTTAAATGAAGATCCAGGAAAGAAAATGTAATGATTGCTTTACCTGAAATACACCTTTTTTGAGTTTTTAATTTTGAAACACCAATTTAATTTTAATTTGAGCTACCACCATGAATAATTTCCAAGGTTTCAAGCACAATTTAGTATTTTAAATTGAAAAGCTAGATCAATTAATTCAGTATTATTTTAGAGGCTTTCCTTATAACAGTTTTGCTGGGAGAGAGAAGCAGAGGAGAATCAAATTCCATGTTGATCAAGTGATCACCCATATAAATGACCAGTTAAAGATGCCCCCTATGTATTTTTCCACGCTTGACATATTGAGAAATTTTTTGAGGGTATACTTGCTGTGGTGTTTTGGCAACTTGACCTGGTTGACCTGTATCCTCAAACTTGTGCACCTAGAAGGCAGGAGCACGAGATCTGTGTTTCGTTTCAGAATTTCAGGGGGATGAATGGTTACGCAGCTGTCCGTGAAAATCAGACCATTTTAGGAGACTCTCCCACTGCAGTCAGTCATCCAGTTCCCATGTGGCTAAGCTTGAAAATGTGAACTTGATGTCTATCTAATAAGCAAGTACTGGCTGTTTTCTCGTCGGTTCCCTCCCCTTATTTCTTGGCTGGTAGCTATTCATGTTCAGCTGATTTTCTTTTTGTTTTTCAGCCTAACTGACTATGACACTAGCCAAATTAGTGAGCATTTTGTCTCCGTGATTAATCAGTGAGCTTTCAGTTTTGGCACTGTGTTGTAGGATTGCTTAAAGGATAAATAAATAAATCAATGAGACATTCCTGACAGCTGTAAAATGATTAAGGAAAGGAAAAAAAAAAAAAAAAAGCCACACAAGCAAAAGTTGAATGATCGCTTCATCATTCTTTAATGTGAAATCAAAAAGTGCATGTTTTTTTTGGCTTGGATAACTGGAGATGCTAACTTTGAATCAACATTACTATTTCTTCCTTCTCAGTGGATCTACTGGTGGTTGTTACATGCGACTGAGAGACTTCTTTTATCTGAATTTCTAATGGATTAAGTTGGAGTTGCAGTTTCTACTTAGAAATGTGATTTTAATCTGAAACGGAGTATGCAAAAATGGAAATTGCGCTCTCAGTGAATCACAGTCCTGGCTGTTGACCTGAGTGACAAAACCCACTTTTTCCCTCTTGCAAAGCTGATGCTGTTCAGGGAGACTGTGTTGGCTTTACTTCTGCCTCTCGCCATATCGCCACATTGCTAACTAGTTGCAAGGGCAAAATCTGTTCTCGTTTAGTATCTGGTTAATGTTCTTGTTTCTGATGGTGTTGGACAAGGCAGCTGTGGGAAGACTTTTGCCCAAAGGTTTTTACTTTTTCACAATCAGGACGGATCTCTGTTCGCTGCTTCCAGCCTGGTAGCAGCTGCGGGTCCAGCAGCTGGAATATCCTCATGTGCTCTGAGCAGTTTTGGCCTGAGGTCTCTGGGAGGAAAACAAAAGGAATTCTTCCTATCTCTCGGCTCCATTTGTTTTATGTTTTAGAACACAGGGTACAAACTCTGTGCCTGAGTATTTGACCCTGCTTGTCAAATATACAGCTTTTCTTGACTTCAGTTAAATTTAAGCCAAGATGTCAGAGGGCAGATTTTGTCTCAGCTCATGCAAAATAACCATTTTGATGCAATTTGGTCTGTTAGGTATGTTAATGCGAAATATATAAAATTATGCCTCCGTATGTATTTTTCTCTGAGGCCTTCTAGCCTCTTGAACTGTGGATGACCCATAGATACATACACTTACTCAGTTCAGGTGGCCCTGAAGGAATTGTGAACATTTTGGCTATTACAAATATTATAAATAATTCCTGAAATTTTATGCAAGAAAACATGTTTTGTGTGTGCACGCAGTGAGGGGAGAAGGAAGGAGACCCCTTGAGGTTCCTCTTGAAGAGCTGAAAACCGAAATGCATCTAGCTCGCTTAGCCGAGCTCCAATATAAAGAGGTGCAACCTTATTGAATACAATTACTTTTGTTTCAAGTAAAATACATCCTCAGTTATAATATCAGCATAATTCCCATTGTGTCATTTGTAATGGTGGCTGCAAAAAAGAAGACACCTGAAATAAAGCGTGCCAGCAGTCAGCTGAAGTATCCTTTATCTTCACTTGCCTAAATTGATATCTGAAGGCATGTGTTTTTCTAAAATAGTACCGTGGGTGGGTAAGGCTATCCATCCACACCTAACAAATGAGCGCCCTGAAAACTCCTCTGCAAAATGCTGTTCTCAGGATACTTTGTGTTCTCAAAGTCAGCCTGTTTCCTAACCCTTGTGTCCTTTTCCTTTCTTTCAGGGTTTTGAGGACCCCAAGGACAAGTAAGCAAATTTACTTCTATCATACACTGTTATGTTTGCACATTTGGGATTTTTTTCTCATATTAAAAAAAGACAAAAATTAATGCCCAGCAGCCAAGAATAATGCCTGGACTCCCCAGAGGTTTCCCCTGGAGAGACAGCCAGTCGAGGGCACGGGATTGACTGATGTGCATTCAGAACTGCCACTGCCCTTGAAACATTTATTCATTTGTGTGGTTCTAACTTGCTTTTGTAATTAAAATGCTTTTGCTGCTTTTCCCCTTGCCCCCAATATTCTTCACTATTTGCTGCTTTGAAAATATCCCAAGAACAAAATCTTCCTGTAAAGTATGTCTAAGTGCTGAGCCCCTCTGATAAGAAAAGTTTATGTATGTATTGAAATGTATATATAGTTTCTGAGTTTATTTGTATATATTTTATATTACTCATTATTACATATTACTTGGTTTTATATATAAAAATGAGCTCAGAAATGACGGCTTATTTGAAAAAGTAAATTCAAACTTTCATGCTCTAAAATACAGCCACATTAAAGGAGCATTTTCATTTTTTTCATATAGAACTTTAAGAAACAATAGTTAAAATGTTTTATCAAGAGTAGTATTTTGAAAAATTGCTTTTGGAGGAAAAAAAACCCAACTGTGTTCACTTTTTAACTTCGACAACTGGACATAACAAAAGCATTTCCTGTATTGAAGGTGTTTGGAATAATTTCACATTCAGTCCTACTGAAAGACATTAATTGTAAGCTTGCTCAGAGCAACATAGGTAACAGTAGAGGAGACTGATGCCTAAAATATGTTGGTATTGCTCCTTATCACGTTTTTCAGGTCAGGACTTAGCAGACCTCTGTGAGCTGGGACAGCTAAATGCTTCTGTGGGCCCTAAGCATCTAGCTTTGGGAAAATTCACATTATGGTGGTTGAACATTGAGAGCAACTCCCTAAAAGTAAAGGGAAGTGACAAATTTGAACATGGCAATGTTAAGAATCATTCTCTCCTTCCCTTGTCCTTCACTGCAAACTTGATTTTGATAACATTTAGCGCTGTGCACCCTGGAACATTTCACTGGTGCTACAAGGTGTCCAGGGGGAGTCATCAGGGTTCTTTGTTGCATCCATGAACTGAGAACCCAGCTGATGTTATATATATTTTGGACAGAAAAGACCTAACAGTTTATAACAAAATAATTCTTAGGAATACAAAAATTTTAAGTATCCCTCATAAAACATCATCTCTCCTCATAGTTTGTGCAAGAAAACATAGATTCAGCTGCCTCAGTGTTGGTCCACAACAGAGTCACCCAGCTGGTGAGGAATGGCATCTCCACTGTTGCTCCAAGGACCATAATGTCTCTCCTCCATCCTATAATTTGAAAAGATTACTTGAGCTGTTACGGTCGATAGCTAAGAGCTGTGCCTTTACAGTGCTGATTCAGTGTGAGGCCATCTTCTTATACAGATTGCAGGATTTTTGCATTTCTGTTCAGCACCAGAAGAAGCTACTACTTGCGTCAGATTCTCTTGATGCAGAAATCTGTTTAACTCAAGAACAAAGATTTGTCCAAAAAAAGTCTCTAGTAGAAAATGTTCATGGTGATATTGGTTAAAATCAGATACTTAAACCATATCAAGCGCTCAACCCAGTGCCCTCACATGGGGAAACACCGAGCATCAATACTTTTCTCTTACAGCAAAGGGAGACGTAAGGACCACGCATCTGTGTAAACAGGACCTGACACTTAGGTGCCTAAATGCAGATTTAGTTATTGAATCTAGGCATGAAGCATTTAAAATTATGGCATACATGTAGTTTTGGCAGTGGTCACACTCTTCATTTGCAGAAAGTAATTAAATCAGCAGAACATTTTTGGATTACCAGTATCTCTGGGTTAATTGCTAGCTTTCACATTTGCAAGCAGGGTGCAAAAGTTGCTCCAAGCTCTGTTCATGCTGTTCCTGTCCCTTGCAACAATTTTCTGTTGGCTGCATTTGGAGAAATCTCAGCAGTGCTTTTAAGAGATGTTTCTTGAAGTTTTGTGGTGGCCTGAAATCCTTGTTTTATTCCCCCCACCACGCTATTAACATATCAGTAAGTATTTCCACATACGAGTTTTACTAGTCTATGTCAGTACCTCAGCTCTGACTTACAGGCACTGCCTCCAGGGCACTCCTTAGCCCGGAGAAATTTTGTATTTCAATTTAAAATTACATTTATGCAAATGTACCCAAACTTGCTGTACAGTAATTTAGTTTGAGTACAACTGGCTGCGAAAGTCACCCAAGCAGTTAGGTATGTGCAATGTGACCCTGCAGTCTACATAAAGGTGGCTGCCTCACTGCAAATATCCCAGCAAGGCAATTTAAAACCTGCAGGGGTATTTCGACACAATATGCAACCACAGAAATTATTGCAGTATTAGAGATATCCTCAGCAGTATAATGACCTATTACAAAACTGGAGGCAGCCGAGGCCAAAGACCGAGCAGGCAGTTTCTTCTTCTCTTCGTGTCTTCCTGAGTGATGCTTTTAGACTGAACATAAAATATCACTGAGGTTCGCCAAGATGCTGAGCCAACTCTTGTGCTTCGGTTCTAGGGGAAAATGTATTGCATCTCTCGTACGTGGTATGAAATGACTAAATGTGAATGACCCAAATGTGTAAATAACTCGCAGGATCTTGGAAGACATTCTGTAAATACGAAGCCTAATGATTTCCTTGCTCATTTTTACGAGTCTAGAAGACATTGTGAGGACTGAATGAAAATAAGCAGCAGCATCTTGAATGGTCAAGCAGATGTGCTTCCTCTAAGGAAGCATCTAGAAGTAAATTCGATGTTCTGTCCTGCTAGGCACAAAACCGCTTTTATTTTCGAAGTGGAATGTGTGTAGTTCAAGGAATTAAATAACTCTGAAGCCCAAAAATACGAAACTGTTTTCCCCAACCCCCCTGAAATATTTAGATTGGCTAAAATAGAGATAAGACCTTGAGGCAAACTAGGTTTGCAATTGCCATATGGTCACTAAATAGGTCCCAACCGTGTGTTGTCATGACCCAGCTGAGGTGTAGACACGTTTAGCACGCTGGGTGGGGTGAAGGGAGTTGCAATGGAAACGCGTCGATGGACCTGACTTATTTTTCTCTTGGCAAGAGGTACATGGTAGAGTTGGGCTATGGAGGGCTTCTTGAAATCTGGTCCAGTTTTGCAGAGAGCTTTTGGAAAGCAATTCTCTTGGAAGGGGACATTTAACTTTTAAAACAAAGTCACATTCTGGTTTGTAAGCCTCCTTGAGCAGTCTCTGCTCTACAGCACAGTCGTACCTGTAGGGGCCTGCTGGCTGCAGCACAGTGTGTTACACACTGTTATTCAGTACCAATAAAACCAAGAAAATAAAGCAGTGTAGCTTTTCATCATGCTTGTCAGACCTCAGGATTTTTTCTCCGGAGTGCCTGAGGTGAAGGTCCCGCAACATGAGCCCTAAGTTGCTGTGCCATCATGGAGTTTGCACATAGAAATAGTTATCCATTGGAATATGCCCCAGTGCAAGCGGAGGGCGTATTCCTATGGATGACTATTGGCATATCCCGTGGATAACCTTGGCAATCATGCAAGCAGAGCAGAAAAACAGCACTTCAAGATTAGCTTTTAATTTCTGCCTATAGCTAGTTTTAAGGCAAGCCATTAAAGTGACAGCATCAAGTCATTAAAATCCTGTTAGATTTTAAAAATAACTAGAGAGTTTGGGGAGGTGCTTCAGGTTTCCTGATCCTCAGTGCAATATGCCTCAGGGCGATTAAGTTTTCAGTGTTATTTTTTTCAACAGTTTATGAAAATCAGCCTCAATTTTCTGGAGCTGTAGCTGAGCATCAGAAACACACTGATACTGAAGATTATAAGCAATTTAGAAATCTTGTTCCACATATTTAGAAAGCAGACTCTAATTTGTACCTTTTTTGTTTGCTACCTTTTTCTTTTGCAGCTTTCCCGAGTTAAGTAAATATCTTGTAAACAGAAAATTTTGTCTGGTTTGTGCTTTATACTCATAAATAACTGCATGCAGAGGAGGCAGTGGGGTGTTAGGCCACGTTATTTTCCCCACACATTAATTCTGTGAACAATTTTTTCTCAGAAATGGAGAATTGTTCAAGTTCAGAAATTTTCACAGAAATATTTACAGAAAGTATTATTGGTAAGCAAGAAATATGACCGGTTACATGTATCATTTTGCCAGTTCAGGCACTAACAGCTATGACAGCATGGCAATGCAGGGAAGAGTAAGTCAGAGGACTAGTGGAAGGAGAATACTGACCAGTTTTAGAGAATGAAGGACAGTAAAGAGACTGCAAGGCAAGAATCAGATAGATGTAGTATAGAATAAGGGGAAGTAAATCAAATCCTTTCACTGGTGGACTCAGGACTGGCAATGAGCTCTAGAGACAATATCGTTTTCCTCTCAGCTTGTAATCCATTTTCAAACTTGAAGCTGTCATAAGCAAAAGGCCATTGACCTCCAGCTTTTTATACAATGAAATGATAACATATGGTGAAGAGGGGGAAATTATCTTGTCCTCTTACGCTCCCTTTTCGTGACATCCTCAGGAATACACAGGAAAGTATGAACCCAGAAGATGAAGTGGATGAGTTCCTGGGCCGTGCCATCGATGCCAGAAGTATTGATCGGTTACGCTCTGAGCACGTGCGCAAGTTCCTCTTAACATTCAGGGAGCTTGACTTGGAGAAAAAGGTAACATTGTCTAAAAATCATTGCAATGTGTCAGTCAAGCTTGTTGTGAGTTTTAATACTCCTGCACAAGGTCAAGCTTTTGTATCTATAGGTAAAGCAAGGTTTTAGATGTTGGAGGTGGGGTTGTGATCTTAAAAAATCCATGCTTCATCATGGAAATCTTAATATCCACGTCCCTAGAAAGCCACAGTCATCTGAAGGGAGCACTGGACAGGAAAACCAAGCCATTTCTGTCAGACGCACATGAGTACACAACGATGAGCTGTAAACGGAATCCAGAATAAACCAGATTTGTTTCTCTGACCTTGAGGCATCCAAGCTGAGATTGCCGTCACCCCTTATCTCCCTCAAATCAGTGGAGAAGCCTGCTTCAACCTGCCTGAGCTCTGAATCACCTCTGGAGGGGTTTTACTCTGCCCTTTGTCTCCCCAGGGAGTCCCAGGTGCCACTAAGGTTCATTGGGATGCAATTAATACTCTGGTCATTTTTGGGAACCCATTTTAAGCAACAGGTAGAGTTCTCTGTCTCACAACTGTGAGAAAGAGGAGTAGCAGTCCTAGGGCTTCTGGATAGCTGATTGCTTCCTGGTTTTGTTTCAGATATTGTTGTGAGGCAAAGATCTTTTCAATGTCTCTGTCTGTACAATAGAGCCAATATCAGCTCTAGAAGGCTGCAAAGTTAAATTCAGTTAAGTCCAGGTGCTATTATCAAGGGTACTATATAAACTGCTGGTTTTAAGTGCCCAAAGAAAGTCTTTTTATTTATCCAAGCGCAGATCCTTGGGATACTTGAGCAGTTTTCAGGTTAAACTCATTATTCAATGGAAAAAGCTTCAGTAATTAAGTTTGCAGCAACTATTTTAGCATTTTATTTAGAAACACTTTCAATGACAGGAATTGCAACTTATTGCAAAAGTGTACCTTTGCAGGATTTACAGCTATTCAATGAATCAGTATGGGACTGGATAAAAGCTCAAGCATGTAATTTTCCCCGACTCCTTCCCTTCAATTTTATAGCTGAAAACTAGGGAATTAGCGGTTCACCTGTTTTGAGTACCTTTTATTTTGTGGTTCAAACATTGAGACCATCTGCGCTGAGAACCGTGCTTCAAGCTAAATAAAGCATCTTTGGGAATCGGATGCAGCTCCCATGTGACCAATATGTTGACAAGCAGTTGGAAGGAGTGACTGTGTGAAAACCACAGCATCCTGACACTATCATTAGAAGAAGCCAAACCGTCTGCACAAAATATAAGGTTTTCTCATTAACAACATTCATCCCTGTTGGAGGAAACTTCCAACGGAAGAAGTTTAGATATGATGATGGTGACCTAGAATTCTGGTCCCAGTTAATCCATTCCTGTTCCTCTGCTGCAAGGGGCAGATGGCAAATCCTCTCACCTCCCAGCTGTGTGGGTTTGTTCACGGCCTTTGGGTCTGTTCAAGCCCTTACAGCTTGCCCAGGGAAAAGAGGAGTTTGTAATGTTAGTCGTTTCCTACCGGTGCTGCTTTCCAAGGACCTAAATGGAAGCCAAGTAAGAAGTTTTTGTGGAGAGAAGGCAGTCAGCGAAATTTCCCACTAACATAACCCTGTTTGCTTTTTTGCAGTACTCCAAGCAGGTGGATGACAGGTTTGGAGCCTATGTGGCTTGTGCCTCCCTAGTCTTCCTCTTCATCTGCTTTGTTCAAATCATAATTGTGCCACAGTGAGTATCTTTTCATCCCTTTGCTCCCATCTGCTCCCCTCCTCTATTCTAGCCTACTTTTCTTTGTTTTTTTTCTTGAGAATTCAGAACACCAATGGGAAGAGAAAAATCCTTGAATAATTCATGCTCAAGTGATGCTTGATGCTTATTGTTTTCACTCCTTTCTAGTGCAGATTAAAACCTCCTCGCTGGCACGTGAGGATTTCTGTTTTCCCAGCATGATTTCTCTTACCATTTACCTCCATCTTAGGAAATTCAGTTCAGCACATTTATAAGCCTGTGGAAAACAAGTATCACTAAGTAGGAAGGATTGCCTACTAAGGCATAGTATGCATTCACAACATGAAGCTAGGCTGTCCTCTTACCTGAGTGCAGTGGGACAGAGACGTGAAAAACCCATCATAGCCTCATTGCTCAGAGCACTGAGGTCTCAGGATCTGCTTCACAGATGAGGCATAACCTCTCGTGTTTATTCTTCTGGACTCAGAGTAGCAGTGCAAGAAGAAAGGAGTTGAGCTACACATGCCTGTGCTTTGGGTAGCTTACTCTGGGTTTAGGGGTTGCAGCCATTTCTTTCCCCAGGCAAGAGTGGCATAAGCTCCCCAGGGCTGTGGGCCACAGTGCTCTTGGACCACTGCAGTGCATTGCTTTGTCTGAAAGGCACAGTGTAACCCGCTGGATCTTTTCCAGCAGTGAGCTCTGCAGCCATGGTATTTCTTCTCAAAGAGTTCATAAAAAATCCCTTAAAATTAAAGCATGTTGGTATTTCCGGTGCTCTGGTTTAGTAGCAATAATATATCATTCACTGAGCACTGCTGTGTTGGAAATAAATTCAAGTTAGTCATTTTTAATCTGAAGAACAAGATCACAGAAGCTCTGAAAAGGCTCCAAATTCATCTTCATTACAAGAAGACAAAAAATTATTTAAAGAGAGCTCCAATACTATTATATGCCACTACAACTGCTTTCTTCTTCTGCTCACACCACAGATCTTTTCAGAATAGAGATTGGTTTGTACCATTCAGATCAGATACTCCAAAGGTCACAGAAACGACTCATAGTCTGATGTTTGAGGTCATTCGCTTTCCCAGGCAAGAGGACATTCACTTCTGTGCACACAAAGATTGAATCAGCAAAGTAGCATCCAGTACAAATGCATCCAGTACAACGTGTAAACAGATGGATCCACTTTGGGAAAAAAAGTGAAGCTGAAAGAGGCTCAAAATTGAAACTAGATCAATCTCAGCAATTAACACATTGTTAATTATGGCCAAAAGTGTTCTTTGAGAGTAATTGATTTAGCAAGGGCTTATGCTTTGGATCTCTGGATGTTACTGCTATGACTTCACACCTGCAGAGGCCCTCTACCAGCCTTTGTGTTGTTCATCAAACTCCCTAAGCAGCCACTAAGCTGTCTCCATAAAACCCAGTTTAACATTTAAATGACAACTTGACAATTTCTGATCTGTGGCAACCATATGGCTGACTCCTTTGTATTACGCAGAAGCCAATCTCTTATGGCAGCGTGGTGTAAATGTCATGCTGCTCAGTCTCCTTCTACGCCGCCCATAAGGGTGGTGGTTGGTTTTTTTTGTAAGTTCTGAAGTGTCCTTAGGCAGCCTGGCCTGTCTGAAAGATGATTTGGTTCAAGGGTAAATAAAATTCCATGTTTTAACTGCAGGTCAGATATACTTTCCTTCACCTTTTGGGTTGTTTTTCCTTGTATTTCAATTGCATAGTTTTGGTCTTTTATTGAAGGTAACAGTCAAGCAGCAACTGAAATCACAGGTGTATATGTGTCACCATCAGAGCTTCATGAAAGACATAACATGGAATTTGAATCCGAAACTAGAGACAGAATGGCAGTGATAATTTATTATGATAAAGAGGAATAGCTTTACTGAATTTCACAAAGGTTCAAACAGTGAATTAGCAAGTACAATTATCTTAGTAGTCATGAGAGAACACAGAGACCATCTAGCTTCGGTGTGGTTGGCCTCAATGTCACATCACAAGAATACTTCCTTTAAATTATAAACAAGGCTGAATCCTGGGAGGGGACCTGTCCTGTCCACTGAGACCAATCACTGGGAAGTTGTTGAATATCTTCATGATCAAAACAGGTGAAAATGCATAGTACAAAGTCCTGTTTGTACTTCAAAGTTGGGAGGATCAGGAACCTCTCAAGCTGGCCAAGCTAAGATTGTTTACCCTGACTATCATGCCATGGTTGCTCCCATCCCATGCACGACACAGAGTATGAAGGATGGTGCAGCACAGACATTCCCTGTGCACAGCAAGGATGAGTAGCTATTCCCATTAAGACTGTTCCCACTGGGCTGCACTGTAGTGCTCAGCATGCTTTCCTTCCCAGGGGTCTCCTGCCCACAGCCAGCCGGGGGCCGACCTGCCATAACAAATTGTTCTATCAGCTCCTCTAGCGCATGAAATAATTTCTCAGTCCCTCTGCTGTCACCCCAGCAGGAAGGTGATTGCTATAAAAGATGCAGCATTCTCTGCTCTGCAACCCACGTGAGTAATTCAAAATAGGACAGAGTATCTGTGGTATTCAAGGCACCTCGTATCTCCTACTGCTATCCTAATTGGAAAGCCTGCGCAGTGTGTCATAGCTTGTACAAATGTCATGTTTTGGAGAGCAGAGCTGTAGCTGTTCTATGTGATGTGCATTGAAAAAAAAATCTCTTTAATTTCAGCTCTACATTTATGCTGGGTTTTTACCTGACCTGTTTCCTGATCCTGACCACGGTGGTATTTGTTTCAGTCATTTACTCCTGTGTAAAGGTGAGTACTGTAGTTTCTTTGTAGAGTCCTTTGCCTAAGATAAGTGGATCAGCAATTTGTTTCTTCAGCTAACAGAGTGTGTTTTGTTAGCCATCCTTTCCACACTGTGTGATAAGGGTTACAGAAAAAGCCTTTGATAAGACAGAATAAGCTGCAAACAGATGTTAGGGTTGGCATCTCTTTAGCTCTGCAAGAAGTAATCACTCTGCAGATCTGCATGTCTATTAAGTCTCCTGCAGGCACTCTCATACTGATATAAGAAGAACACATTTTTCAACGATGTGGAACAAAACACTGACCATTCGTTTCCTTCCTGTAAACTTCCTGCGGAGTCACCTGTGTAGTGGCCTCTGCTGCATATGCATGTTTGGGTAGGCAGATAATCAGAAGCAGAATATCATCAAGGAAAAATGTCTTGAGGGGAAGTAAAAGCCATAAACACATAGAAGCTCATCAGCCTTTCTCAGATGAGTGTACAGAGCTTCTAACATTCAGTGGGCTCTTCCTTGTAACTGGTTTTGATCAGCAAAGAAATACTTTGTATGAAATCAAAAAACATACTATTTCTTCTTGGCAATGTGTGGTAAATTGGCAGTCAGCACTTTGAGAAGGGTGATGTGCTCATCTTTTTCACTCAAAGGTATTCCTATTAAAATGTTGATGCTAGTTGATTGTATTTGCAGTTTTGGGGATCCTTCCAGTCTAGCAATGTCTGAACATGTAATACATTCTGCTTCAGGCTCCTTAGCCCTAGCTCAGCTATGTCAGGCAGATGATTTGCCTCACTTTTATTATCTTCTCTGTGCCATTTTCAACAGTTGAATGTGGGTGCGCTTGACAGACTTGCACCTTTCACGTCTTTTTGATTTTTGAAAGTTAGATGTGGAGAAATAAGCTTTGCCTTCTCATTTAATAAGAGCTAAAAACTGTTCCCAGTGAAAGAAGCTTCAGGTTATATTTGAACTTAACAACTCACTCATGGGGCTTCCCTTGGGCTTATGACAATTTTAAAGGGAGGCTAGTTTATAAGCACAGCATCCCGTTGGTCCTGCTTGTTTACCAGCAGTGGGAATTGCAAATCAGAAATAACAGTGCTAATAGGAAGACTTGGGTCCCTTGAGATAGGAATTGGGACCCAGAGATGCCAGGTTATACTTGATGTTGGGAAAACACGTGAGGATGCTCCTGAGGATGCTCCTGAGTGTCATTAGTTTGTAAACTGGTATCAGCAGTTAATGTGATTAGCAGTTAATTAACAACCAGTGTGGAAAGCTTTTGGTCACAGCCACAAAGGACTTGGGAACTCAGTGCAGAGCTGTGCTGGAGCCTACTTATGCTGCAGTACCACCAGCAGCAACATCCCAGCGCATTGCCAGCCATGCAGAGCCACACCAACACACCAGCTTTACTGGTGCTGTGCAAATATTGGGGCAAGAGCTGTGGCAGACCCAGGCCTCTGAAGCATTCCAGCTGGCTGACTTGCAACCAGATGGATTTCAAAGCACACAGCTGTTTGTCACCCACTGGCTTTTATGGGCTTAGGTTGCTTCCACATATTGACAGCAGCACTCATTTCTTCTGCCATCATTCAAAGGTTTTGGTTTTGGTTTTGGTTTGGGCTTTTTGGTTTAATATTATTACTGATCTTAATTAATGATTAATTTAAAAGGCACACAGGATTTTTCAGTCACCATGACCCTAGGCGGATGTTCAGTCTTGCTTTCTTTGCCTTGATCTTCCAAATTCCTGTAGAAGAGGTCTGTTCAGTGGTGCCTGCAAGTGTTTTTAGGCTAGTTTTGCCTCAGTGCACAGGCCCTGGAAACACAAGACATCAGAGGGAATTCAGACTAACATCAGAATTTAGTGGGATTTTAGGAAGCTCCTGGTATTTCCAAAAGTGAGTTTTCAGCATGTTGGCCCAGACCCACAAGGTGCTTATGTATAACATTCAGTGTGGCCAGTGCCTTCTTTGCATAGATTGCAAATATTGAAAATATTGGGCCTTCTAGCTTCAGTACCTTTTTGATTACCCTTTTTTTAGTGCTCCAAATTAGCCTCTGCTGACAACATCTGGTTATGAGATGGCTTGTTTAGGGGATGGGTACTTCTGGCTTGTCAGCTACGTCTCTGGTGGCAGCAGCTCCCAGTAGCTACAGTCTGCTTCTGTCATGAAAGATTTTTGTGTTTCAAGTCAATTTTTTGAGCAAGGGGTTTACCCAGCCCTTGGTTAAGGGGTGTTACTTGATTTCTGTACTCCGCATTGCTCCAGGAGGCATTTTTACACATATGCACAAGGAAGGCACTTTTACAGATCCTTTAGATGAAATTTTAAGACACAGGGATGTCAGCATTGTTTGTTTTGTTTCACACTCAGATGTGGGGTAGAAGAACATGTGTTTTACATACCAGTGGATCAGTCCACACAAAGTCGGAAAGCAGGTGTCCACCCCAGGATATCAGCATAAGCATAACTTTTGCCTGTTTGCTATGCTGTTACATGATAAGTGACTCTTTTTTCTTCCTCTTTCCAGCTTTCATGTGAGGTTTTTCTTCCCTGTTTTGGCCTCTCCTTCTCTGGCTTTGACAGTGTCCAGCAGGCTCTTTCTGGACAGTTTGATCGTGTTTTATTTTCTTTTGCTGTCATTATTATCTTCCACTATAAAATTCTCCATGGACTAGAAGCTGATCCTGGAACTGCCAACACAGCCAGCTTGACTTTCCAAGTTTCTTCAGCTGTAATAAACAAGAGAGTTCCAGTTTTTCACTTTGATGCTCCATGAAGACTTGGCCACCACAAGCTGGTGTTCCTTCCCAATAGAGTCTAAGGTCATGGGAACCAGGATCCCTTTGCAAATACTCCACTGACAGACATCTGTTTTGCTACTAACTTATCAAGTTTGTGTTTCTTCTTAAAATCTTTAACTTCTGGTATCTACACTGCTGTGTGGAATTCAACTTCTTGCCTGTTCCTGGGAGCATGTATGAGAGACATTTCAAGTTAACCTTTATGAGAAAATAAGTTTTTCTGTAGCTTTACATAGGTGCAGCTTGCCTACCTGTTTCTTTGCCTCCCAAAGCTGGTCTAGATGCTCCTAAAGTGTTTGGGTTTTTTTCTCAAGCAGGGGAAAAAAATGCCTCTGAAAACTGTACTTTTTTAATAGACTAATAAATCACTGTGAAATAAGTTATATAAATGGACTTGCAACATCAAGTTGCCTGGAGATGTTGTCTTTTACTGCAGAAGCATCTTAATGTACTTCAAAATGACTCAAAGGCTTTTATTACAAATTGAAACATCAGAACTTAAAGACCTCATAGGTTTTATCCTCTCATAACACAACAGCAATTTTCTAAGCAGTTTTCCATGTCCACAATATATGTTATGAAGACAAAAAGGAGAAATGTTACTCTTCTGTCTGTGATTGGCTTTTGCTGCAAAGTACAGTTTTTGTTTAGTGTATTCTTGTCATGCAAATGACTGGAGTTTGTGGATTCTTTTCAGTGTAACACTTGTTGGATTGCATTTTAAATTCAGACTTTCACCTGTACAACAGTGCTCTACCTTCCCCTTCTGTATTCATTGGTACCTGCATGCTTTCAGAGCCTTTCTCCTCTGGGAGATGATGTCTTCCAGCAGCATTTACACATTTCAGTTCAGAATGAACTGGAATTGACTGGACAATCCAATTTCCTTTTTCCCACTGTGGTCATTTTTCTTTACATGAGGATTTTAAGAGGGCTAATGAGTGACCTCAAGCTTGTGTGGCACCCCAGACATGAATCTCAGCTGCCCAAATGGATCATGTGCTTTCTTTCAGCCCCTGTTATCAGTAGTGCACATGTGGGCTTAGAGTTGCCGTTTCATCAGACTTTCCTTTGTCCTCTTCACTCAGGCAAGATTCTCCTTATTAAGAGGAGTAAATGGTGTTGGACAGTACAAAGCAATGGGCTAACCAGCAACAGTGCATGGATTTTTCACTGTACTATAACGCTGTGATGTTCTGCTTCTTTTCCTATGACAGAAAGGAGTTTATTTTATTTTATTTTATTTGAGAATCGGAACGGAAGTCATCTTCTTTTCTTTTTTCTTCTTTTTTGTTATACCATTGACTTGTGGATGTTTTTATGGAGGGAGCATTGCTAGAGTGGAGCTGAATTGTCAGAGCTGAGACAGGTCCCCCATTTATAAGCTGCAAGTATTCCGGGTCTCTATCTGCCACTATGAAATGGGAGGAGTGTTACTTATGTTATAGAGCCCCCATGAATGTTGTTTGCAAGGCAGAGGTTCCTCAGATGTGTGGCATGGCTGTGCCGTTGTGCTCTCTATTGGAATCCTGACCTCCTATGGTTTTTGGCATTTGTTTCCTCTTCAGGACTTTTTCCAGCTGTACTTGTTTACTGACCTAAAATTTTCTCTAGTTTGCAAAGTAATGAGAGCTAAGATTAATACAAAGAAAACATATTTTCATTTGCATTTAGTGTCTTCCACTGATAACTTTGCTTGATATCTCAGGCTTGGTTCAAAGTCAGGCTTTTTTGGGATCGTTGGCAGCAGGGGCTTGAGCCAAGATCCACAACAAAGCGCTCCCGAGTTTTATTTAGGTGCCTGATTTCCCAGAGATTGCAGGAGGTTAGGTCAGTGCATACCTTTGAGGAGCTCGGCCTTGAGGCCTAAACAAAGGGGTGACAGGAAAATCTGTCCTGCTGTAATCTCGTGAGAAAACTGTCTAAATGCAGCACAAATCCTCCTTCTCCCTCCAAAACATATAAAAGTTAGAGTGGAGGAAAGCCTCATGGCATTTCCCACATCCCTGCACTGGTAGGGATCTGCTAGCTGATGTCTGCATGGAAGCAGCTGGACGTGGTAGGACGAGGAGATACTTCGGTTCATGGTTTATCAACAGAGCTAAAGATTTCTATATCAGCAAGATTTATTTCTAAGAGAGAGGTGTTTTGCTTTGTTTTACAGTGGCTGCACATACCTGAAGAATTGCATAAACTTTCAGTGAATTTCAGTCAATCCTCATTCAGTGCAAATAAGTCATAATCCCAATTTCCCATTTCCTCCCATCCTCCACAGAGCCTTGCCCTCTCCTCTCGCCTTGAGTTAGCTGGATTTTTGTGCGTGTGCTGGTAGTAGGTGAAATCAGCTCTTTCAAAACTCTTGCCACAACCTCTCTCTCCCTCTCTAAAAGTCACCAGCTAATCAGTGCTTTGGCCATTCAAACACTTCATAATTTCATTGTAGGACTGCTGCGTGGGAAGCCATGCACTGACAAAATGTTGCATCTCTGAAGATATAAGAGTGAAGGATAAAAGAGAAAAGCAAGACTTTTAATAGAAACATTAGTCATAGTTAAATTGCAGTGCCGTGTCGCTGCGCTGCTAGCTTCTTTGTGTCTCTAAAAATACCCTCTAGT